AGCATAAGTACTATTGGCGCGGGCGCTGGACCGGGATGATCAATGCGCTGGATAACGGAGTATCCGACTTGTCGAACATCAAAGGTGTAGTGGAAATGAATTTCGAGCATGGCTCGCGGGATGAACGTGGAGTGGCACGTAAGCCACTGAGCACTGCTCAAGTAACAAAGCAGTTGCTGTATACCAAAAGTGGCATGGTCGGTCAAGGTCTGAGGCATCGAGGGCGAGGCCGCTCAACAGGCTCTGAGGGTGTGCATTACAGCCATGTCGTACCGACTTGAAGTTAAATCCGGCATTCCATGCCACATTCACCGCTTCTTCAAAAGAAGACGGATGCCCACGGAAGACTCCCATTCCGGTCACACCAGCGCGGAGGGTCTCCATAAAGACGGTCACTGTGACCGCCTCGGGGAGAGGAGCAGCGGCCATCCCGACAATGAGAGTTCTCAACGCATGATCAAACTCCCCCAATTCCTTCTTGCCCTGTCGGGTGGTTAGGGAATGCGATCGCACGCGATGTGCCTGGTTGGCCAGCGAGAACAATCGCAAAATTTGCAGCTTCAGCTCCGTCCAGAGCGGGAATACCGCTTCAACCGAAGTACCGCAGGTTAGTGCCCCTTCTTGCGCTTGGCCCCCGAGCTTGAAGATAGTTAGCGCGGCGCGCCGTTGCTCGTTCTGGAGCATATTGGATGTCATAGCCATCAAGGCCTCTCTCACCCAGAGCAGGAGATTCTGTCCGTCCTTACCCTCGGAGGTCTTAAAATGCTCACAATGAGCGACTTGGGTCGAGAGGATGCATCCGTCATCGCTTCTCTTCTCTTCTCGACGGTGGCGTCATAGACGCAGTCGATGTCATCATTTTCTTCTCTAGGTGCTCTGCTAGAGCACCTATTTTCACTGTTTAAAAACGCCTCCAGGCGCGCGCTTATTGCTTCGGGTCATTGCGAAGAAGGCTTTCAGGGCCAAGCATGGGCATCAGCTTATCAAACCTGTCCTGCATGCCCTTGGGAAAATAGGATAATCGCTCCTTCCTCACAGATAATCAGTCGTAACGACTCAGGCGTAGATTGAGAGCTACCAAGTGCAGTGGGGCTGCCGTAGCTCTTCGCTTAGAAGAAGCTAAGCTAAGGTCGCCGACCTTACGCTCTGTACAAGAAATAGCACGAGTGCAGGGGATCGCAATCCGTTGCCTCCAAGAGTACTTAAAACCTTGGCCAATGTGAAGACTATTTCGTTCAATATTGAAACTGTATTAAATTGCTTTAGTTGCAGCAGAGCCACCAATATCTAGAACATTAGGTCTTTTTAAATTTAGTAATACCTCATTAATAGAGTATATATAAAATCAAGTTATATATGTATTGCTACTGCCAATTCAGCCACGTAATGGCTTGTTGTTACGGTGTGGCCACACCACTGCGTGATTACACCAAATTGTATAATTCACACCTATGTACAGTCACACCATCTTGTGGGACCCACCCTTTCATACCAGGGTATGAGTAACCCCGTTACAGGGTAATCCGATTTACATCGTATCATACGTACCGATATGATGGGATATTTCTTCGAGTTTGCGGTCCACAAAGTTTTCTTCACCCATGGTGTTGTCTCATTCTATGCGATGCCGCCGTAGATATTTTGCTTAAAGGAAGTTTGGTGAAACTTAGTGATCTTGGTTCTATTCTTAGAGCCAGTACGAGTGAAGCGGATCGCAACCCACTTACTCCAAGGATATTGAAATCTTCCGTTCAAAACGTTAACTGTATTTCTCGGTTTTATTTGCGACAAAGCCGCCTATATCTACATCTATAGGTTTTCCTATCTTTATAGAATAACCTAATCAAATGTATAATTACTGGCTGTTCTAGCCACGTACTGACTTCTTGCTTAAGTGTAACCAAACCATTGTGTGGTCACACCATATTGTGTGGACCACACCGTCTTGCGTGACCCCGTGACACTTGCCATGGAAAATCAACACACTTCAGGTAAGGTCTGACTATGTGTCTTTCTTGTCGACCCTGTTAACAGACCTTTCATAGGGCTACGTCAACATTTTAGCCTTACAGTGCTCTGTAAGCTCAATCAAATTTCCAAAGCACTACAACAGATTTCTTGTTTTAAGTGTAGCCAGACCACTGTTTTGTCACACTATATTGTGTGGCCCACACCATCTTGTGCGACCCACCCTACATACCAGGGTACGTGAAACCCTGATACACAGTATGAGACTTGAACTCACGCGGGTCACCCTAATAGCTTTCGAGTTTATCGCTTTAATTTCTCAGCCAAGCTGTCTAATTTTGTGAATGTTGTCATTTGCATCAGCTTGATTTACCATGCACAATGCGCGTGTTTAAATTGAGTCTTGAGGGGATAAATGTGCCAACAAACCGCACCAAAGCAGGACATCTGCCAGCAGCAGTTCTTCCCATCCATCCGCGGCAAATGGAACGCGTTTAAAACCCAGACGCCCTCGATTATGCCGATGCAACCTAAATTTATTCGATGTTTCTTCGAGACATGTCGTGGTAACGTTGAGACATCTGCTCTACCGCGTATCCAGATGCCACGGTTCAATGCAATGGACATCAAAGTCATCAATGCTCTGTTCATGCTGGGGCTGACTGAAGTGAACTCGATGCCTCGATTGAGCGAGTCGTTTGTACGCGCTCTTTTGTGCTCACTATACGATGATCAATGAGACTGGACATGCATTCCAGCGCACCACAGCAAGCATAATTCCTCGCTTCGATGCTCAAAATACCACCATCCGACAGCAGATTAGTCAACAGCAATTTAGTCAGCTGACCGAAGCGCCTGGTGGTAAAATCTACATTAAAGTGGAAATGATAAAAGCCAGCCAGAATCATGCCGGTCAGAACGTCAAGGTCCTCGAAGGCAGGTACCGATTCGGCGGATTGATAATCTAACCGACAGCTTCTTCATTAATGTGTCGAGTGTCGACGAAGGCTTTATCGATGCTGGCCTCATGTTGAAATTTCTATTTAATCTCGGACCAAAACCGATCTATGGTCTGTTCTCAAATGTAAATTCAAATGCAGTGATCACCACTGACTGCCCTTTGAGGTGCGTATTTTCGTTTAAGTATGTGACCTCCTGAGCTTGGTATACGCGGCTCTATATAATACCACCTCGTTTTTGCTACTTAGAGCATGATAAAAACTCTCCGCATTCGACCCGACGCATGTTGTTTCATTAACGTTCAATTCATGCGCTCGACTTAGCTGAAGTCGCTGTCCAGACTACCATTCCAGGCCTAAATTCGACACGGTCAACGCTGTGGTGGGGCGTCGAGGCACACATGAATCTTCGCTTCAATACCAATCCACAAAACACCACCACGACATCTGACATTGTTTCCAGCGCAGCTTCAAACTACGATCTAGCGCGTAGAAAGATCTCTCTTGGTACTGCGAGCTGTCAAGTCGTGTCGCCACCAAGCAGTCCGATGTTTCACCGGCTGTTGTCACCACGTTCGCGAGCACCGGCGTCCCAATCCGTTTTGCTACTCATAACTGGCGACAAGCGGAAATGAAAGCGTTCGCGTGCTCATACGGTCTTCGCCAACATGATGGCAAAATCTTGTCTAAACAGGGGGATTGCAATAAGTAAATACTTCGATGTCCTCAGCACTGTTGAGATCGATCTTACTTTCCACCCTGCGACGCTTGTAAGATAACAATCCGCGCATTCAGATCGTGCCGCGAAAGATACAAGGTCCGAACAACATAAATTCAGTATTGAATCTAACCATTTTATTACTTAGCATCAAAATAGTGTGGTAAAGACTAGGACACCAACTCCGATCTAAGTGATAGTCAACAACATGAACGCTGTTGAAGAGATGGCTAGCAACTAGCTTCTACTGGATCGCCGGGTGCTGCCGATGCCTTGGCGTATGGCCTTCGCAACACCGCGTTCCTACTTGAAGTGCCCGAGTCGCGTCCAACATTCCCGAGTTCGCTCAACTTCACATGATCAGTCATATTTTGAGCGTGATAGATCGAACAACATCTAAAACTTTGCTCGCAAATGAATCAAGTATATCGGCACTGGGGTGCCTAAGAGAGGTGATATTATATTCCGATGTGTTGTTTCGTGGTTCAACGAGAACGCTGACCCTGAAGCTGATGTTAATGTGCACGGCGTCATCATCTTTGAGAAGAATTATTGGCTTCAGTTGTTGACGGGGAAGTCAATACCGTGGGTTTCGTTCCACATCTCAACATGTTGTGGTTCCTGCTCCGCTCCCAAATTGCCACGCACTACATTAAGACCTGAACAGGTGTCCAAGGCAAGGAAATACAATAAATTTGCCTCACGCGTAGGCGCTTATAGGTGTGTCATAGTAAGGCGTCAGCTTGTTGACCAACAACACTAACAGGAACACAAAAAACGGGGTCTACTTAATTAGTTTAGCCTCCTTGTTGTCAAAGAACCCAGACTTCAAGACTGTCGTCATTCTGAAATTTTTAACTTCAACGTCCAACACCGCTTCAATACCGATTCAAATGCAACTATCCGTCAGTGACGCTGGCGCGGCCAGCGCTTCACAGACGACACACCGATCTCAGTGTGATCATTGTGATCTGCCCTTACTGTCCAGGTTTTGACACGACGAAGAGACTTTAATAACTGTGTTGGGACGCTATTTATTTGACTGAGAGTTGCCAAAGCTCCTTTGTGCACCCACAGCGTAAATTCGACAGATTGTCAAAATGACAAAGCCGTGTTTTTAGCCATCTCTCAGTAGATCGACTAAAAGACAATGCAGCACACATCGTCCACTGGATTTTAAATACGCTCCTCACTTCTATTCTATACTCTTCCAAGCCACGCTTACTTGCTCAACCAGGACAAGCGCTTGTATGCGTTGGCTAGGCCAACTGGGTGCTCTTGATGCCTGGCGCGTCCACCACCGAGATGCACGCATTTACAGTGCCCCCCCCCAACTGCGCCAAGCCGACTTGACTACACTTTGCTGTCGAATGACTTCAGCGACGCGCTGTTCGGCAACTCTGAGTACTATGAGCCTCAGGGCGCTGGAAACCTCCTGTCATACAAAGTTACCCTGCGCTTCATGTCTCACCCCGCGGGTACGGCTACTGACGCTTTTCGGGTTAGCTATCGAGTATTCGACATCGTAGAAATCACTCAAGGCAAAGGCCAGCAGGTTTTTAAAAATATCCACTCCAGTCTGCGTCAAACCCGAACAAAAGTGTAGGAACAGTGAGAAAGATTCATGAGAACAGCTCTAGGCCCAACAACATAAACTACGATTTATAAGCAACGCTGTAATTGAGTTCGCGTAAGCCTCGCTAGACCAAGCGGCAGCAAGATACTCGTCGAGCAAGACGCCAACTCCCAAGCAGCCTTTCAAGTAGCGCTGAATCCCAAGATGATTTTTCATGGATCATCATGGGTGACGCTGACACCACGCACCAATCGCAGATATTAATAGCCAGCAAAAACTGACAGAGACGATGAACAAGCGCCTAACATCAGACAATCTAGCCCTGCTAAATGCCTCAATTTCTGGAGATTAACCGACTCGCCAAATATAAAAAACAACTCCGAGCCTGGCATGTATGGTATGACCTTGGACAAAGCCTTTCGTCGGAAACTGCCAGGATCATCTCGCCAGTATGCACTGCTGACTTAGGCTCGGGGGGGGAGGGCACACCGAGTGTCAACTTGTACGCTAAGCTCAGGCAATCCCCGAAGACATCAGCCGCTACCCGATAAAGGCCGACTGTGAACTGACCTAACACCTTCAAATCTCTCAAAATCAGCTTATCTACGACGATCAGAAGGCTTTTGGCATAAATCGACCCAAACATCATCACGTGTGCCTGTGTTCGACCTGCACGGTCTTGTAACAGCACACATAAGGAAACTTATGTCATGTTTCTCGACTCCGGATGGCATACGACCGGGTCAACTGAAATTATGTTTCTATGTGCTAGACCGCATGGGCATGTTATGGAGCTTTCACTGATTGAGTGAAGCTCCTTTACAAAGAACCACAGGCACATCTCTTCCTCTACAGCCACAGCCAAACGCCAATTTCTCCACACGGGATTTTAAATAAGAAGTATCGCTCTCGGCGCTACTATTTTTTATGGTCGTTGAAACACAAGAGGACCTAATGCGACAACATGAGGAGCATGGTGTTTGCATCGCCGAAGTCCACAGCACTTGCGCTTTCTTTCCCGCTGAAGCAAATAACGCTATACCTTTCGGATAGTGAGCTGGGGATCGGCATTGAAGCTGCTCTCCAGATCACCACTCGGTATCCAGGCACAGCTTGACCTGGCCCAGCTGTGTTATGATGGCTTTGTGGCATGCTTAAACTTTTAAACTGTGTGCTTGTGTCTCTAGATTGACGAGCTAACCCCCCCCAGCACCCCTAACGTTAAGACGCTTCGGCGTAGGGATACGGTCAAGTTCCTGTACGTTCTATTTTGTAGGGAATAAGTCGAAGACACCATCGTGGGGTTTAAACACCAAAGTCATTACGAATGATCCTCCCTGTGAGGACGCCTGCTGATTGTGCTGACCATGGTGCTCTCTCCGTTGTGAACCACACGATGCACGTGCCAATTCCACATCGTGTCGGTTGGAAGTGGCAGCTTACACTCAACCGCTTTGTGCTCGCACGTCGCTAAGAGCGCAACGCAAAACACATAGGAGCTTCTTCATTGATCTTGATTCGATGGTCGTCTGTCTAATCCTAGCATAAAAAATTCGCTTAAACATCAGAACTCAACGTGCAACTGTAAAATTCGTCGAAGTGGGTTCAATGTAAATTGAATTGTGCCGGAAATTGTGCTACAATCACTTGTACTAACCACCCGATGCCGCTGAAAATCTGTCTGTTTCCCCGTTGTTGGCAAAAGCCATGGTGCTCTGCTATGGTTGGACGCACTGTCCCGATAGTGGCGCCAGATCTGGTGTCTGGTATGTGATCAAGCAGAAAGTCGCATAGAGAGCTAAAAAATACCCACTACGGCTACCAACAAAAACGGTCCAACGGAGAAATAACATCTTAGTCTTATAGAGCACAGACACTGCGTGTGAAGGTGGGTGTACAGCGCTTGATAAACCCAATCAATCCTATGAAAATTCTGTGTGTTTTGTCTATACGGGCATCGGGGCTTGGCGTCACACACTCCGTGTATGACGTTTAATTTTGTCAAAATAAAGCAAAGGTTTTGCTACAATCGGGCTGATATCCACATCACGGTATCTCCCTTATTTAGACCAGGGGCACTTCGTGATGATGTCAAGGTGGCACAATACCACTTTCCAACGCCTGAAGCGGCGTTGGCTGCTTTTGGATGCATACTCAATGTGTGGAAACATGATGCAACAGCACCATGGTATCGCGGGCAAATGCATCGGAGGATGTTCTCCACCGCAGACTTGACGCATTTCGTTAAGAGTTCTGTCTGGGGATGATCCGCAATTGGCATGTCTCATATACCATGAGCTATTCTAACCAGAATCACTATCGCATGCAGCAGCAAGGTGAGTCGTCTTGTTCAGACGACAATGTTGCTTGTACTACCGAAGCGTTTTTTAGGCCCAAGCTACAGTCATTTCGATGAGCTTGAGGGTTTGGCCGAAACCAGAAAGCGCCGAGAGTGTCGACACGTTTGGCAAAGTTTGACCCTTTCACATATTTACGCGCGCAGATAGGTGTCGTTTGTACATATAGGACCACAAGTGTTATAGCGTTCACCGCGCTGGACGTCACTACTCGACCATGGTGACTTCCGACAAAAGTATCGTGAACCTCACGCGGAATTCGATACCTGAGCTTTTTAGAAGAATTACTTGTCCAGACCGTCAATGCTCATACATCAAATCTTGGGAAAAGGAATAGGAGTGAATACACACGACCAAAAATTTTCAAGGCGACATGATGTGATTTCAAAAGCACCTGGCTTCCCAAAAATGACAAATGGATCAAGCCAATCAAATGTACCCTAAGCTATACAAAAAACACATTTGTTAGCAAGTATTTTCATGTCATGAATCAGTCACTTCTTCTCCGCCGCTGAGCCGGCAAGATTTCTAATGCAATGGTACGTCGATGCCTATAGAAATCTGCCTGATGGAGAGCACAGATTATGACAAAACTGGAGCTCTTTGACAGCCTCGAAGGTCATTTCGTATGCTGCTCCAATGCCAGTGAACCTCAACCTTTCCAGAGAGATGTCATGTCATGTTAGCGAAAATTATATTATTTTTGTGTAAGTGTCTGGTTTGACCAAAGCACTTTATTGATACATTTTGCGTTGCAGCATTGATCAGTCTAATAGCCTGATCTTCATTGTATATCTCTTGCAAGCCAAGATTGCTAATCTAGCACTGTAAAAAGACTGGATGGTTCTTATATTTACTCAAATTTGCTAGCCGATAGCCTATTCAAACATATAAACTCGATGATCTTTTCTGGGTTACTTTATGCGGCTCTTTCCATCCGCCTCCGCGTGATTGGTAGAATTGCGGATGAATATATCATAAAAGCAGAAATTTGCATATGCACGATGTGGACTAATTTCTGCGTCACCGGACGACGTGACATCGCTCCTCTTCAGACACACCCAGCCATTCCTTAGAGCATCCCGCATTGAACCTTCCTGTAGTAAGACGTTTTTACTGTCTCTCATGAGCATTTAATAGAATTAATCATCTATGTCAAGAGCAGTGGACAAAGTTGCAAGCGACCAGGCTGCTCTGCATAATGTCCTTATTGAGAATCACCGTTTGAGCTGGAAAGGAGCTGTATTTAGATCAGCAAGCCGACTTGCTACTTGTCTTTACCTGTCTGACTTAAAATTAAGCGAGAGTCGGGAGACTTATTGTCTTCTACACCACACCCTTCACGCAAAAGAAGTCATTTATGACGTACCAATATTTCCTTATGAGTGGTGTAACGGGGTTCCACGTACCCTGGTATGAGAGTGTGCGGGGTTTCACGTACCCTGGTATGAAAGGGTGGATCACACAAGATGGTGTGACCGCGCAAAGGTGTGGATTACACACGACGGTGTAATCACACAATGGTGTGGCTTCGCCGTAAGAAGAAGCATCAACGTGGTGAGACTGCGCATATTTATTTGGTTTGACCATTTTAAGTAGGAAAACCTAGAGATTCAGATATAGGCGGCTCTGCCGCAAATTAAACAGATAAAAACAATTTCAATTTTGAACGAGTGCATTTGCCTTGGGTCAGGGTTTCGGGTACTCTTGGAGGAAGCGGATTGGGATCCGCTACACTCGTACTGGTTCCAGTATAAAACGTCGGAGACCTTAGTAAGCTTTCTTAAGGCAAAGGGCTACGGCGGCCCCGCTGCAAGTGGTCATATGACGTACGATGTTTCCCAGCACTATCAAACGGTGATTTGCGCAGAGTCGATGCGCACAGGTCTCACTTCAGCCCTGCGGTGAGTATACGAGCCGTCTAGTCGCAATAAAACGGACCGAAGAAGCGTGGGTGGACTCTCAATTTCGTGGTGACATATTTTCTCTACATTCGCTTAAAAACGGCAATATTGTTTGTTCCGAACTGCCGCAATCAAAATTTGTCATTTCCACTGCTTATTTTTTAATTTTATAAAATGGCTGCTACATGAAGAGCAAAAATTTTGACACTCATGACTGCGAGATCGACGAGGGTCACGTTGAAAGCGGTGTAAGATTTTAGTTATCACAATCGTATCAATCACCCATAATGCAACCTCATTGTCCTAATATATCCCAGGTGTGCATGTATAACCGAAGCAGAAAAAACTACTGCTGATGTTTATTATAGAGACCCTTCATTTTTGCAGCACTTTAGCGAACTATGCGCGTTTTCATCTCGGACCTAGGGTCATCTCTTTCAACAGAGTTGGCACACAATTGCCAAGTTGCCGGCCATGAAGTTGTCGGCACGGTCGTTCGAGATAAGACATCCAAAGTGGTCGCGTTGACAAGCCACATCGAAAGTCATTCCGTCAACGGGTCCGTAAATGAAACCGTCGCGGAACAAAGCGATGCAATATCGTGGCGCCGACTTATGCAGCATGCCGATGTCGTCATAGTCACTTCGCTGGTAGCCGACCCAAAATCAGCCATAGAAATGATGAAGGCATTTGAAAAGCGTGATACTATCATGGAAAAGGAAGGCGACAAATCAGTTAAACGCTTTATCGCAGTATCTTCTGTGCTATCGTGGAGCAAAAACTCACCATATTCAGCTTCGGGGAATTATTGTGCGCATACTGAGGACGAATTCAAGTTACGACGCCCTGCGCGAATATTTGCAGAGCTAAAAACTGCCGAGACTCAAATTTTGAGTGCACATCGGACAGCAGCATTCGAAACCTATATCGTCGGAGCTGGACTCATATATGGTGGTGTTCAGTCCCCGATACAAATGATATTTCGCGAGGCTTGGCTGCATCCAGACCAGCCTCTTCTCGTTCCAAGTCTTGCCGAAAAAGCTAAAAACACCAGTCAAGGTTGCAATTTTTTGCCCATGATTAGTCTTTATGACTTGGCACTGCTTATTTTTCGTTTGGCCATCTCACCATCACCGCCTTCGAAAACGTACTTGCTTGCAGTAGATAAGGCTAGCGCCAAAACAAACCTGCGTGACATATGCCGAGGAGTTAGCATATTGCTGGGATCAGGACGACTTCGCGATCGGGAGGATTCCATTGGTGCTGTTGATATTGAAGCTGATACCTTTCTATTGGATGAAGATGAAAAACTTTTGGCTTCGCTTCAACTGCATTTGTGTTTCGATACTTCCGCAGGGGCTATGCATACGTTAGTGGCAGCTGAAGAGTGGCACCACTATTCAAGCGGCTTATTAGGAAATTTGGAATTTTTCGTCCATGACTTCATAAAATGTATGGATCTGCGTCCTTTGCGTACTGTCATTCTTGGGGCACCTCGAGTTGGTAAGACTTTGCTTAGTCAGAGGCTAGCAAAAGATTATCATCTACCATATCTGTCTCCAACGACACTTCTACACGAACTTTTTGTTTTCGAGATTGACGCGACGCATTCGATTCCACCTGAGGCAAATCAATCTGATTTAAAGACCTCACGTGATAATGAAGAGATAAAAAGTCTGCGGAAAGAATTGCAACACTGGGCTCCAACTTGCCAAAATAGTGCTGAGCTCCCAGAGGATGGGCTGATAAAATTACTACGCTGGAAGCTTTGTAGCCCTGCATGCCGTAACCAAGGTTACGTGCTGGATGGGCTTCCAATTTCATCGGCTCAGGCATGCCGAATTTTCTTTGACGAGTCTACTTTCAAAGATGACGGGGAAGGGGATGCAATTGAGGTCAAAGAAAATGAGTCAGTAAGCATAGTCGATGAAGCAGATGGTCTCAATGAAAAGAGTAATGCTGAGGCAATTGCTCATATCCCAGTTGAAGATGTCGACGCTTTACTGGTGTCGTTGAAGCCACGACAGCGCGTTGAAATACCAAATCGAGTGATAGTGCTAAACGCTTCTCGTGTGATATTAGAAATGCGCGCGCAAATGTTGACAGAGTCTGAAGCTAAACTAACTGGAAATACCGAGGACACATTTGCTCGACGTTTTGACGAGTTCGAGATAAATATTGAAGCAGTAGAGGAGATTTTTGAAAAGTCGAAGCCGCAATGGGAAGCAGATGAGGCTGGATCGAACCCGACAACAGATGGCGTGGAAGTCCTAGAAATCACTTTACAGGATGAGCTCGAATATTGCGACGATGCATCGTTTGCTGGGCCCATTAAGCGATACATGGAGCAAGGAGGGCGCACACCGTTCAACTTCCATCCCACACCGGCCGAAGTGCGCGAGCAGCAACGAGTCAGGGAGTTACAAGTACATGAAGACGAAGCTCGCGCGGCGCAACGCAATCATGAGTTTGATGCACAAAATGAAGCGCTCCAGCAGGTAAGGCTTGCGCGAGAACGCGCAAGACTTGATCTTGTGCAACGTGAAGAGGCCGAGCTTTTAGAAATGCGTGCTCAACCATTGAGGGCATACCTAATGGATACAGTGTTGCCAGCACTAACTGAAGGAATTCTGGAAGTTGTTCAAGTGCAACCCTTGGATCCAGTTGATTATTTGGCCGAGTTTCTGTTTCGCAAGGGCCAGGAGCTAGACGTAGAGACTAGCTAAGCACCTAAGTTCACACGAAATAATACATGCACTGGTAACATGAGCAAAGAAATCTAAATTGCCCTGGAATTAACGTCCTCGTTGAGTCGCCGATCACGGTGGTGCGTAGCTGAATCCGCTCGTCGGAAGTTCTTTCGACTATCTCCAAAATATCGATCTTCGTAGTCTCCATTGTAACCTGACAGACTAGTCCTAGGTCGCGAACGTGATCGAAACGTTGCATTACTGGAGTCACGACTGTATTGCTGCTGACCGTCAAAGTGCTGCGCCAGAGTAGATCGCTTTGAGTGCCGTACATTATCCGAATAGTAATCTTGTCCGTCTCGTAGTCTTCCACTGTGTGGTACCTTCATCCATCGTCTGGATGGAGATCTTGCGCGCTGTATATCACAATTGTAATCACGCTCGTCCAAACTTAGCACACGATCAGTAGACTCGTACTTGACATTGCCTTTGACTCTATAAAACGCCTTATCTTCACATTCTCCTTCTTCGCCACCTTCAAATTTTCTTCTCGCTTGGCCAGCGTTTGATGAGCGATGAGGTGAAAATCGCAGCCGCTTCTGAGCCGGTGAGTTTGTATCGCAGAAAGCTGCAACAGCAGTATTGTCGTTGCCACGATCGGTCATTGTACAAAAGCTTGTTACTGGTATATGACGGTTTCTTGATACCGACTCACCTCGCTTTCGATGTGCAAATGTCTCAAAATTCTGCTTGTGATGTTGCCTATTTGTTGTGCGGGACTGGCAGCTACGCTCTAATGATCCACGCGATGGCTTAGGTTCACCCGAAGACGACCCAAACCGCCTCAAGTCCCTATCACTAGATACCAGCTGCTGACAATGAATGTGTTGTGAGTAGTGATGATCAGATCTTGCAGATGAAATCAAGCTTTGTGGCCGAGGCAAATAGTCGCGCGTTGTACCATTTTGCAATGACAGAGGTGATGACTCAATCGTATTATGTTCACTGGAGGTAGAGCGAGGTGGTGTACGCTGGGATTTCCGTTCAGAAAATGGAGAGGAGCTTACTTGAATTCTTGCACCAGCTTTTAAGCCCCATCGGATTTGCAAAGGTTGCCCCAGGTCGTCAAAGAAGACTCGTGATGCTTGCTCTGCGTCCTCTCGATTGTAATAGTGCAAAAATACTGTGCCCAGCTTATCCTTCATAAGCTTTTGCCAGTTATCGCGAGTTATATCACATCGTGGAACTGACTTATTAAGCGTGTATCGCTTGCTCAATGCTGCTGCAAACGACTCTCGATCTCGTTCTTGATTAAACCGAATCCCCGTTGATTTGCGCTCAAAATGCGCATTTCGAACTATCAACGTCATCCACCCACGCAAATTTTGTGGAACAAAAACTGAGCCATACATTTTTCGTTGATAAAATTCTCTGTCTTCAAGTCGCTCGAAGCATAATTCCTCATAGCAATTTGTTTTTCGAGTGCCACAGTTAGCAAATTCACAACTCGAAGCAGCTTTTGGAGCCATACGCGATACTCCGAAAAATGAGGATGAGTATGACTTCTGTTCTGACGTCATCTCCCTATTCGTAGCACAGCATATACGAGGGATAAGATCGGGTAGCGTAGATCCATCAACATCAAACACTTCATATCCCATCATCTGTGTTAGTAGCCCTAGCTTAGTGCCCGTTACATCACATTCTTGAGCTGCCAGTTCCGCTGACGCAATCAAAATGGAATTGCGCTTTCTGGACAATCGCATTAATGCTCGATCCTGAGTCGAAAATGCAGTTTTTTTCACTGGCACTGAGTTTTTGGTCCGCCTTTGATGCGAATATTTGTATTTCTCTATTTTTGCGTCAAGATTTGATTTATAAGACGCCAAAGACAAATCAGCAACGACCACGAAAGGTTCCATCAGGCGTTTACCATCATCAGTTGTTAGGGTCATTGGTTTATCAGACCGTTCTACTAAGACGCTGGTGTCAGCCTTGCCAATTCTTCGCTTGGGGATTACGAATGAAGCTGTGCTGGAGGGCACGCCCAAATCGCCTTCCTTCTTCGGAATCGGCATCGAGTCATCCAACAAAGCATCGGTGACAGACTTCTTCTGACTGCCCATTGTTACCAACGATGCTTTAATTATAGGTGATCGCTTCAATTTTTCTTCTTTTACAGAAGCTTTTTCCTGCTCAGCTACTACTTCAGGCTCAACAGAGGCTTCAGTTTCAATTTGGTGTTCGTCGATCTTGTAAGGAGCAATAAACAATTCATCTGTCTTAATTTCATTCGCATCCTCACTCTTGTGCTGGGGTGTGATCTCGCTTTTACCACATCCGGCGGAATTGTACTTCAAATTGGCTATTATCACCTCTGGTTCGGAAAATTCTTCTCCCATGGCAGCAAACCCTTCTTTCGTTACATCTGTCGGCTTGACATGTCTCGAAGACGTGCCTTTATTGGCTGCAGAAGTAGAACAAGCTTTGTCTGCGTCGTTGACTGTGGATGTCACCGTTTCACTTTTGTGATCGACTTCATTAGTTGCTTGCCTAGAAGATAGAATCGTGCGGGACTTGACTTTCCTTCTGTCAGCAGCATTATCGTTGCCAAGAACTGAAATTTCCTTGACAAGTAGAGCTGAAAGATCTGTCTGTTTCACTTCATCAGTGCGTAAGCGAGTCTTCACAGCTTGAAACAAATGGTTCTTAGCTCCTTCCAACCGAAATCTTGGGGGCCGTCGAGGCTCAGTTTGGTCTTCATCGCCAGCTTCTTTACCAGAAAATACTCTTCGCGCAGCTTGAACCGCGCGCACAGGACTCCTTTCGTTATCTTTAGAATTTTGCGTCATCTGCTCCCCCGTGGATAGACTCAAGACGCATCGATTTGGGGCTAGTTGTTCCCTTTGGGTTGCTACCTCAGATGCCTTTAATTTCCTTAAATCCTGACGACTTTGACTTTTCTCCGCAAACCATTTGCCGCGTGGTTTCATGACTTTTTCTATGCCACTTTTATTTTCTATGCAACTTTGTTCCAACAACGCGTTATCGCTTTCATTGTCATCGAGTCGCGTCTCCTTATGAAAACATCGGGCTCCATTTCCTTCTGTCTTTTTTTGTTTCTTCCCCACCCGCTTAGGTGTCGGCTGTGGCGATGAGTCCGAGGAGTCATCATCCTCCAGAGAACCTTGCAACCGCTTTAGCCAGGGAAGCCCCTTCCGCACAATCGACACGTCGGAACTCGCTTTGGCCATGCTGGTTTTAAGTTAGACTAGCCTTCTTTTGTGTACCCAACGTAAATATTTTGTATTAAAACATAGGTCTACACACTTAGTGCACATTGCGCCGTTCACGACTTCGACGAGACTGGAAAGATATGTATGGAGTTGTGTAAATACAAAATGGATGAAAATACAAGAGGAACGTACCAGAGCTAGCATGAGTTCCTGTTCTCGTTGCTGCAACTGCTCCACCTGCTGCCGCAAATACTTTATCTCACTGCCTGGACTGTTATTACCGTGACATTTGCTCCGATTTTGCATCTCCTCATCTCGAGAAGCTATTTTATCATTTTGAAGCTCATTAAGGCGTTTCTCAGCTGCCGTGGCCCAACTTTTTAATTTTATATAGTCATCCTGAAGTACCTGGAGCTGACTACGCTGTGAAGGTGATTCTAAAGGCAAAGCCAGTCTGATTTTACCTGTAGCTGAATGTAAGTTCAGAGGAGCAGGTAAAGTAGACTTCAGACTGGGTTGATGTTGGATCCGATCAACACATAAGCTCGGCGGTGGTCCTTCGAGCTGCAGCCGAAGGCGGAGTGCATGATTTTCTTCACGAAGTAATTGGTTTTCGTGTCGCAAAGCGTTTAGCCGTTCTTCAATGGGGTCCACTTGAATGGCTGGCTTGTTGCGTATGTTTTTCGCTCTAGTCGCGAATTTCAGGGTAGTGAGCGTGTCTTCCAATGCTACGACCGATGGAGATATGCAGGCAATCATAAGTGTCATACTTTGGCCTCCAAGCGAGTCCATCAGTAGTTTAGTCAACTTGCTGTCGCGATATGGAATATATAAGCTACTATTCGCGGCAATTGTTCCAGCTGATAGTGCAGCTAATGCAGATATAACTTTCCCTAGAGTAAGTAAACTGCGATTGATGTTGCTAGTTTCTTCGGCATTGCTCAACTTTGTCTCTTTAAGCCGCTCGCTACCAGCCAAATCCACAAAGCACATTTTCCCAAATCTACTGACAATTTCATTCTCTCCGGTATTGTAGTCGCATTTCTCAATTCGATCCACATGGATAGTCAGTAAAGAGTGACTGCGACTAGAATCAGCATTCATACTGCGTGATGCCACGTGACGATTCCGATGACCTTCGTCAACAACAGCTAAAGCATCAGAAAGTGAGTCACAGCGTATGACCACCAGATCCTGCACGTAAAAGCCAGCGCGAGCATTCCATCGCACATTCAGCACCCCTGACTCTGGATTAAGCAGATCCAGCACCTGCTCATTGTATATTTCACAATACGACGCACGAACAATAATTTCTACGCCAGTGCCTGCTCGATTTATAAGAGAAAAAAGATACTCAATTGCTCTAGGAATGAGGCCATCAGAAGGATTGATGCTGTTATTAGCTTTTTGTACTCGTTCAGCTCGTGACTCCGTGTCGGCTACTTGCTCCTCAAGCCCTGACATGCTGTAAGTTTTGCCCGATCCAGTTTGACCATAAGCAAAGACAGTGGCAAGATAACCTTCAGCCACAGAGTCGAGCAATGGTATCAATCCACATTCATTAAAAAACTCAGTCTGGGAGCGCTCGCCAGACGCGCATAAATCAAAGCCAAAGCTGCGAACAAGCTCACGAGCTGATCCGGAGCGATTATTATTGCCGCCTTTTGTGACGGACACCACTTGAAGTGTCGTCGAGTCGCTAGATGAAAAACGAAAAGGCGACTGATCCCTTCTTGCGCGCTCTGTTGCATTCAGAGGACGGCATCGAACTACAACGCGCACTGTATCTGCACGTCTTTTTGACTTACTACCATTCTTTTCTTGAGTCAACGAAAGGCCCGCTATTCCAATCTCTGCAAGTTGTCGCGGGCTTTCAGTACTGCGTGGCGACGGATCATTAAATGAATGTAGTACCGTAGGTAATCTCCGTGGCAATTTTACACCCGGCGATTGAAGACGACGAGTACGTCGATGTGGCGCAGTGGCGATTGTGTCATCAGCCTCAATATGTATCATGACGTGTATATACACTGGGAACAGATTAAATGCAACGGCTGGTACTATTAGTTACAAATTTTTTTACGACCTGCATAATGAGTGCTTGATCTCCGCCATATTTCCCTAACACTCTAACACAAGATATGCAACCGTTTTCGAACGTGATATAAATGCAGTGTAGCCTCAAAGCAGAGAGAGCAGGTAATGGGAGGGTATGCAACCATTTCTGATAGCCGCGAATGCGCGTCAACCTTGATGCAACGGGGCTGCCGTGCATTCTTCGATTTTACGTTCAATCTTTGATCTGGCGCGTAGAAATGCACAGAGGATGTGCTCGTTTACTCCAACTAACTTAATACTTAGTTTTACTTTTAATTGTCAATCTTGAGAAACTAGTACAGATTATTTGTATGATCACAATCTACACTACAGGAGCTAATGTATAGCGATGCGCGAGGCTGGTTGCAATGGGGTCGCCATGCACTTAGTCAAAGTTCACAAATGCACAAAAACTGTATTTTTAAGCTTCTATCAGAAGTGGAACCGAGAGCTTCCACTGTAGCCAACACTTATTTCGATCTCCTATTTCAAGAGTATATATATTTCATTCAAGTACTCGCTACACAGACCATACCTGCGCTTAGAGTTCCTCCTGTGCACCAAACAAATGGTTTAACGAGTCCCTGTGTAACTTGGTTTGGTAGGAAGGCTATTCACACGATGGCGTGACCACACAATGGTGTGACCATACTTAAACAAGTGGCTGGAACACGCTTAGTAATTTCATAAGTCTTGTCGTATTATACTGATAGGAAACCCATAGATTTTAGTATAGGCCGCCGCAAATAACACCGAAAAATACAGTACGGGGTTACACGTACCCTGTTAACAAGGGTGTGTGTCACACGAGATGGGCATGGTGTAACTGCACCCGAACAAGATTACGGTATGTGGCTAGGTAGCCAGTTGTTACGCACGTAGTTAGATTTTACTATATATATATGAAAATCTAAACATTTGAAGTTAGGCGGCTTTGCCGCAGATAAAAATAAATGAAAATCAGTTTGAATTTAAACCGAAGAGTTTATTAGCCTTGGTTAAGGTACTAACTACTCCTGGAGGTATCGGATTGCGATCCGCTGCACTCGTATTGGTTCTTGTAAAGAACGAAAGGTCGGTGACCTAAAATACGCATCCTTAAGCGCTAAGCTACGATAGCCCCGCTGCACTTGGTAGCACTTATTGTTCACTCTACACCTGGGTCGTCTAGATGGATCCTCTGTGAGGATGGAAGAATTTTCCTTTTTCCCTCAGGGCATGCAGGACCGGCTTAACAAGCTGATGTTCTTGCTTGGCCCAGAGGGCGTGCAACACTTTGTGGCGCAAGGTCCTGAGGCAATCGGTGCGCGTCTAGAGGCGTTTTCATATTACGAAAACGCGCTACTAGAGCATCTGCAGCAAAAGATGTCTGCATCATTTGCGTCTATGTCGCCACCGTCGGTGACGGATGATTTTCGCCGCCCTAAATCGCTCATGGTGAGCGTTAAGGTCTTTGAGGGGAAGGATGGAGAGAATATCCTGCTCTGGGTGAGAGAGGTCGAGATGGCCATCGCATCCGCCATGCTCCAGACCGAGCAACAGCGCGTGGCGCTGGCCATCTCAATTCGGTGGTCGAGCGCGAGAATGGGCACTGACGTGTGGCATTTCGTCGAAGCTGCGCTTCCCTCCTTGGCGGAGCTGAAATTGCAGCTCTCACGAGTGTACTCGCCGCCTAATCATGCGTATCGCGTGCGATCTCGTTTCCTTGCCGCCCGACAGGGCAATAAAGGATGGGTGGACTTTGTCCAAGAGATGCGCACTCTCATTGCCGGAATGGCAGCCGATCCCCTTCCGGAGGCGGTCACCGTGACCGTATTGATGGAAGGCCTCCGCACTGGCGTGGTTAGAATGGAAGTCTTTCGTGTGCATCCGTCGTCACTTGAAGAGGCGGTGAATGCCTAATTCAATTTCAAGTCGGCACGAATTGGTTGAAATGCACTCTCCAACAGCTCGTCGAGCGGGCCTATGCTCATGAATCTCAGCTATGCTGAGGACGAGGGAGCAGAGCTCCGAGCTGCCGGGCAGCATGCAAGCACACGACGGTTTTTGTCTGCCGAGACACCCGTCACCTGCGAAACGGTTGCCCCCTGCGCAAGGCGCGTCAAGATTCTTCGAACCATCGCCTCAACGTCTACCAGTCTGGTTCGTCGTGGGGAAACGACACCACTCAGTAGGCGCGGGGCGACCTACTGGAGACGAAATGAGTTCTGTTGAGCCTCAGGGAGGAAGAGGTCAACAGGGTTCAGCCCCAAAGAGCTCCGTGCTCCTGATCACGGAACGTGTATGCAAGCCGGGCTTGCTGGTCGTGGAGGCGACCGTAAAGGGCTTC